TCCGATACGTACCATTTCAGTAACAAAATCGATATGTATGCCAATACGATATTAACTACCTTAAGTAAACCCCCATCACGTTAATTTTTTTTTTATATTAACCTCTCAATATTTAAAAATCATATTATTTTTTAATTAATTTAAAATCGAATCATATCGCATTTTATAAAAAAAATTCTTTTAATATTTATTTTTTTATTTATATTATTCAAACTAAAAATTTTATTTAAAAACAATCAAATTGATTTCATTTAAACCAATAACTGATGGATAAAACGCTGAACTTTCTGCTAAAAGCCAAAATCCCCTTTCTTTATTGCAATTAATGACTGGTCGCAAGTGACAACCCAACAATCAGCGCATTAGGACGCGGACCTCTCTTCGCCCGCAATCAATGGTACACTTTCCACTTCCAGTAGTTTTCGAAGAACTTCTCCTGCACCGCGCTTTCCCACTCTCTTTCTTTTTTTTTTTGGTATTTCACTAAAGTGTCTTTGAATTAATTTTTATAAATCTCAAAATTAATTTTTAGTATATATTAGAAGTTAATTATTTGATATTAATTGATATCCAATAAAAATTTTAAATTAATAAATAACAACTTATTTAAGTTTTTATTTAAATATATCTATTCTCAATTTTAAATTATCTATCATCTTTAGGTAATGTTTTCATTATAATTTAATTTGATTAAAAATATCTTTACTTACCATTTATATATTATATAAAAATATTATTTAAAATTACTTATAATAATAGATAATTTAAGAAGAAAAGAATATTGAAAATCAAGATATTTAGTTTTAATTAAAAAAAAAAAAAGAACTAATGATGTCAGCCACTTGCCAATGTGAATTTGACTCCATAGCCTCCGTTCTTTTATCTAATCTAGGATTATTTCCTCACATTTTCCTTGCTGATTAAAATATGAAATATGTATGGTAGACAAAATATGGAATGAACTATGAAGGACCACCATACTTGAATTAAATTCTATTCAACAATCAACCACCATATATTTGGACTTTAGCCCTCAACTCTATGCCACCCGTAGTGAGGGCTGAGGAGCCACTAAGTCATTTCTCTTACTATCTAATGCCCATGCTGAGGTCTCGTGTGAGTCAACACACAAACACGAAGCATTCCATTTCCATCCAATTCCTCTTTCTACTGCCCTGAAAATTCCCATACATGGCTAAGTCCCCAGAAGAAGAGCATCCTGTTAGAGCCTTTGGCTGGGCTGCCAAAGACGCGTCTGGCCATCTCTCCCCCTTCAACTTCTCTAGAAGGTAATTTTTCTAGATCTCTTACTCTTCTTGGCTGATTAATACCTGTAAGATCTGGTGTTAGTCATGTGATAAAGTCTGTGTTCAATTGGTGCGTATGTGTTTTGTGCAGAGCAACTGGTGAAGAGGACGTGAGGTTTAAGGTGTTGTATTGTGGGATATGTCACACAGATCTTCATTTCACAAGAAATGATTGGGGATTCTCTGAGTACCCTATTGTTCCAGGGTAAGACCCTTCATTGATACTTATACTATTTTTAACTTCCATGCTCCTCACCTACACACACGATTTTTCATGGTAAAATTGATGGGATAAAACTGAGAAATATAACAGAAGCTAAATTTTCAGACTAATTTTAATACAAAGAGGTCGAAGTTTAGTTTCTTCAAGATAAAGGGCCAGAAAATCTTTCTTTTGGACCAAATAGGATCTACAATAAGTTAATTAAAACAAAGCCATCTTCCTTGAGGACATATGTTTGCCCAATCCACC